CAATCTGACACCGGGCCCCCACTCATGGACACCCTGAGACTGTCCCTGTATATGACAACCTCACAGTTGATGTTGTGACCCTCCCAACCTCACAGGAGTTTCCACAACTGCGGCCGCAACCTCCACACCAACAGCTGAGCCTTCCACCCCTCTCTTACGTCTCCCACTCCGTCACCCGGGCCTGTGCCTCTCCTTTCACAGACTCCTCATGTTCAGGTCTGTGCTATCCCTCTCCCCAATACACCTTCAGAAACCTGAGTGGGTGCCCTGTGTATCACCCCACCTGCCCTTATGCTTCTAGCAGCCCCATCTCTCCCTCCCTCTTATCCCACTCCACCTCTTATGCTTTTTCACAAGTGCACCTCTGTGTTTCTCCTCCCTAGATCCCCCAGGTCCTCCAACATTCACCCAGGCCTTGGGTCTCAAGATTACTGTACCCTTCCCAAACAAAAGCCCATCCAATTTTTATCTTTCAGTTTATAACAGTGCTGACAGAAATAAGGTAATTCCAGGCTTTAGAATAATCCCATCAGCCAGCAAAACCAGAATCATCCCCATTTTGGCAGCGACAAACCTAAAGCCACTAGAATGCTGGAAACAGAGCCCATCTCTTCTTCATCGATTACTTCCCCCATTTTTGCCCATCTGTTGTGTTGATCTCCAGGGGTGTGGGGCCTCCTACTCTGACCTGGAGGGAAATACCACCCCACCCCCATGCTCCTCTCAGGAATCGTGACTTTGACTGAATCCGGAAAGGCTTAGCTGAAAGGGGCAGCCTATCCGTGGCATCCGAGCTTGTATCTCCAAGCCCTGGGGCCCGTGCGGAGGCATATAGGAGTGGGATAGCTCATCCTTTGGGGAGCTGTTGGCGAGGGCACAGACCCAGGCCCTCTGATCTGTGCAAGCTCTTGAAGCCACTAAACTGAGAGTAAGGAAATACTTTCCAGAGTCAGGCAAGCTAATGTTGCAGCCATTTAAAGCTAAACTGCAAAACTGGAGTCTGTGTGGTGCTGGGAATAATGATTCTTCTGGAACTTTTCAAGTTCCCTTGAGTCTCATTTGCATGTGTGCAGCATAGAAGGAGGTCGGTGGCTTTGTTGTTGAAAAGCAGCAACATGCCATTTCCTGTAGGGCTTGCATAGTGCTTCTTACTCCTGCCTGTCTCCCTGCAACCAGGATGCCAGAATGTTCCTCAGGGCCACGTCACCTTCAGCTTCTTCTGGGGAAACTGAGGCCATTGGGATTTTCCATCCAATTGCTAAAGGGATCATGTAATCATATATTGGGGGCCTGCAGCAGCTGGGGATGCAGCTCAGTGGCAGAGCCCTTGCTAGCTTGGGTTTGATCCCCAGGACTACAAAAAATAATAATTTAATAAAAAATAAAACATATGGGTTTGGGCATTTATGTTTGTAAATATGTATGTGCATATAGGTGTGTACTGTACATACATACTTGTACTTGTGTGTATATGTATACATTTATATATATGTTATATATATATATATATATATATATATATATATATAATTAAACTTTGACAATGTAATTGATGTATATAGTTTTTAGAAAACCAGCACAAAGGTGCATATAATTAAAAATCAAGCAGGTCTCTATCTGTACCCAGACCCTCTGGATGCACCTGTGCTGTTAATAATTTCTAATATTTCTTTCTAGAAGTAGTCTGTGACTGAGGAGCCAGGCCCTTATTGATGGCTGTTTAAGCTGTCACCCATCTTTTGCTGTTATAAATTGAGCTGCAGTGAATATATAGATTCCTGTATCAGCAAATCTGGTGTGAATGTGGGTGGGCTTCAGCTGTGCTCAGGCACTTCAAAACCTCCGTCTGCATGGCATTTAGGTCCAACTACTTGTACTTCTTAGGAGTGGCTTGGTTAAAGGGCATGTGTCTCTAAATGATCAGTCTTTCTTCTCTGAGCTGTTCAGCGGGAAGGCCTGTTTCCTCCTCCCGGTCCAACTCAGATATCAGCAAGTGTTCTGATCTGTCTTGTCCGATTGGTGCAAAACAGCACAGGAGGTGCTTTTGATCTTCCCCTTTCTTAGATGCTCTGGCCCCTGGGGTAGGGTTAAACATTAGACTACTGTTTTTCTTCCACAATAAGAGTAAAGTTCAGGAAATATTTGAGTTCCTCCTCTGCAAGCTTGGAGGAAACCCTGCATTTGAGGTTCCTTACAAGATTGGGAGACAAGGCATTACTGGTAGTCCCTGAGGCTGGGAGTGGAGGTGGGGTTGCTGAGAGATTTGGGCATAAGTTACCTTAAGCAGAACAGTTTGCTATTTGGGAGGATGAGGCAGGAGGATCACAAGTTTGAGGCCAGCTTTGACAACTCAGTGAGACCCATTCAATAAATAACTGGGGATGGACATTATTATCCAAAGTACATATATGAAGACACAAATGGTGTGAATATACTTTGTATACAACCAGAGATTGTGCTCTATTTGTGTAATATGAATTGTAATGCATTCTGCTGTCATATATAACAAATTAGAATAAAAATTAAAAAAATATATATTTTTTAAAAAAGAACTGGTGGGGGGGGGCTGGGGATGTGGCTCAAGCAGTAGTGCGCTTGCCTGGCATGCGTGTGGCCCGGGTTTGATCCTCAGCACCACATACCAACAAAGATGTGTCCACCGAAAACTGAAAAATAAATATTAAAAAAAAAAAGAACTTGGGATGTAGCTCAGTGGTATCTGCTCATTTCACATATGCAAGGAACTGTGTTCAATCCCTAGTACTGAGAGCATGGGGGTGGGGGCAAGAAACTTTTAGCTGTTGTTAATTTTAAAAAATTAATTTTAGTTGTAGGTGGACACAATACCTTTATTTTTATTTATTTATTTTTATATGGTGCTGAGGATCGAACCCAGGGCCTCACAGTGCTAGGCAAGAGCTCTGCCCCTGAGCCACAACCCCAGCCCTTGTTGCTAATTTTTTAAAATTTAGTTTTATTTTTGTGGTACTGGGATGGAACCCAGGGCCTTGCACATGTTAGACAAGCACTCTACCACTGAGCTGTACTCCCAGTCCTGCTTTCTTCTTTTTTCCCACTTGGGTCTAGCAAAAAAAAAAAAGGGATCATAAAATGAGTCAGGTATTTGGGGAGCTGTTTTGAGATTCTATTCAGAGTCTGAGATTTCTCACCATCTGTGCCAGTTTGAAGGAGTCATCATACTGAGGTCAGGCCCATTCCTGAGTATCAATCAGCTTTTGGCAGTTAGACACTAGAAGAGGATTGAGTGCATCAGAACTGTTTGCTTTTTTTGAGTTTTGCAAGTCAGCTCTTGAAAACATGCATTGCATTTAGGGGTAGGGGTGTAGCTCAGTGGTAGGGTGCTTGCCCAGCCTATGTGAGGCTTAGGGTGACAGAGTGCTGCAAAAACAAAACAAAAAAACTCTGCATTTTTAATTTTATGTGTGAAATACCTTATAAAACGTATATCATGTACCTGTGAAAAGAAAAAAGGTATAAGAATAATGAAACTAACACCCAGCTCAAGAAGTAGAGCATTGTCCCCCAGTGACCCCTCCCTGGTCACTGGGCTATTTTTAAAATATGTTTGTTAACATTTGCTTTCCTCACTGAGCACCTTTTGCTGGGACTGTCTTGACCATCTTGTGCTGAATGCTCAGATCCCAGGGGCCAAACAGAGTTCTCTGGAAGTGGGTAGAGAGAGAAAGAGGGAAAGAAAAGGAGAGAGAGAGAGAGAGAGAGAGAGAGAGAGAGAGAGACGAGGAAGAGGAGAGGGGGGAAGACCATATTCACATAACTTCATTATAGTAATTGCTATAGTTATTCTATTTTATAATTAGTTGTTATTGTTAATCTCTTACTGTGCCTAATTTATAAATTAAACTTTATTATAGACGTATATGTATGGGGAACAACAGTACATATAGGATTTGGTTCTATCTGTGGTTTCAGACATCCACTGGGAGTCTTGGTAGGTATCTAAGAGTGTCCTACATTCAATGACTACTGTCATTGTAAGAAGAGGAAGCGGAGACCGAATGGTAGTGGTGCATGCCTACAATCTCAGTGACTCAGGAGGCTGAGGCAAGAGAATTGAAAGTTTGAGGCTAGCCTCAGCAACTTAGTGAGACCCTGTTTCAAATAAAATAAAGACCTGGGGATGCAACTCAGTGATAGTATGCTTGCCTAGAATCCATAAAGCCCTGGCTTCAACCCTCAGGATCTCAATAGATAGATAGATAAATAGATAGATAGGAGGAGACACATAGATGCACAAGAGGGAGAAGGCCATGGGACAGAGACTGGAGAGATCAGTCAAAAACCTAGGAACTGCCGAGAATTCCTGGCAGCTGCAAGAAACCAGAAGAGGCGTGGAACAGATTTTTCTTCACAGCCACAAGAGACCAGCCCTGCCTCACCTTGATTGTGAACTTCTCCACAACTGACAGACTACATTTATGCTGGGTTGGTTGGTTGGTTTGGTTGCTTGCTTGCTCTGTACTGGAACCCCAGCCTTTTTTTTGTTGTTGTTGGGGATGAGTGTTGTTTGTTTTTTGTTTTTGGTACCAGGAATTGAACCCAGGGGCACCTTACCACTGGGCCAGACCTTTTAATTTTTTATTTTATTTATTTATTTTGGGGGGGGGGTACCAGGATTGAACTCAGGGGCACTCGACCACTGAGCAATATCCCCAACCCTGTTTTGTATTTTATTTCGAGACAGGGTCTCACTGAGTTGCTTAGTGCCTCGCTAAGTTGCTGAGGCTGGCTTTGAACTCCCAATCCTTCCACCTCAGACTTCCAAGCCACTGTTAGTTTTTATTTTGAGATAGCATCTCACTAAATTGCTTAGGCCCTTGCTAAGTTGCTCAGGGTCTCAATATATTGCTGAGACTGGTCTTGAACTTGTGATCTCCTGCCTCAGCTTTCTGAGTTGCTAGGATTACAGGTGTGAGCCTTGGCATCAGGCTGATGGGTCTACTTTTTAAATGTCCAGGAGTCAGGCAGATCACAACTCCCATGAATCCTGCAAAGTAAAGGTGTCGCTTTAAGAGCAGCCTTTACTTGCTCAAAAATTTGTCTCAAATTAGCAGTGAGGATTCAGGCATCATCCCAAATTGTTATTTTCCATCCTCATAAGTATAAGGTATCTTCCTATGTACTTTAAATCATCTCTGGATGACGTAAGAATATCTAGTACAAATTAAATGTTGTGTGTATAATTGTTATTCTGTATTGTTAAGGGAATAAGGACAAGAAAAATCAAGATCTGCACAGACGCAATGTTTCCAGATGTGGAACCTGCAGATATGGAGAGCTGATGGTTTTTGTTGGTGCAGCAAGCCTTATCCCTATCCTATCTAAAAGGCAGTTCAGATGTAGTTAGTCTAGGCTGGAGCTCAAGAGTCCTGTACAGACGTCTTGGAGGATTCTGGTGTATGTGGTTCTGGAAACACTTGCCGCTGGAGCATCTCATGGCTGTAGAAGCAAAGGAGATCTTGCACCTCCCCTGCTGAGGACAAGCCTCTTCTCTGCAGCATTGTTCCCTCACAGGGCCTCAGAGAGGAGAAGAGCATAGATTGGGGTACCCAACTTCTGGCATGATCTGTGTGCATGGCCCTTTGCCAACAAGGCCTTAGATGATATAGATGAAAAATAATGGGGAGCCAGGCACATGGCTTATGTCTGTAATTCCAGCAACTTGGGAGACTGAGGTAAGAGGATCACAAGTTCGAGACCAGCCTCAGCAACTTAGAGAGGCCCTAAACAATTTAGTAAGACCCTATCTCAAAATAAAAAATGAAAAGGGCTCATTGGTAAAGTTCCCTGAGTTAAATATCCCTTATTCTAAAAAAAAAAAAAAAAAAAATAGCCGGGCACAGTGGCACACGTGCCTATAATCCCAGCGGGGCTCAGGAGGCTGAGGCAGGAGGATTGCAAGTTCAAAACCAGCCTCAGCAAAATCGAGGTGCTAAGCAATTCAGTGAGACCCTGTCTCTAAATAAAACACAAAATAGGTCTGAGGGTGTGACTTGGTGGTCGAGTGCCTCAGAGTTCAATCCCCAGTACCACACACACACACACACACAAAAAAAAAAAAGGAAGAAGAAGAAGAATGTGGAGAAACCTCAGGCTGGGAGGGGGGTGTTGTGCTTTTGAATGAGGCTTTGAAGAACAGTCAGGTCTTGGTGGCCAGGCTACAAAGTGGACAGATGCGTGTTTGAGAGCTACCAGCAGCTCCAGTTGCCAGAGCACATTGATCACAGCCGAAGGACACTGAACCTCAGATGGCAGGGTCAGAGGTTACAGTGAACAGCAGTGACAATTTTGAAATATTTGGTGAGCAGTAGGTTTTTGTTGTTTTCTTTTTTGTTTTGTTTTTATGGCTCTGGAGCTTGAACAGATGACCTCACACATGCTCGGCACGTGCTCTACCACTGGACTGCATCCCCAGCCCTTTATTTTATTTTGAGGTGGGGGGTCTCATGAAGTTACCTAGGCTGGCCTCAAACTTGGCGATCCTCCTGCCTCAGCCTCCTGAGTAGCTGGGATGCCAGGTGTGTGCCACTGTAGCCAGCTAAGAGGAACATTCTTGCACCATGTAAGGACAAGTGAGGGCAGGAGGACATGACTACAAAGGCTGGAGGTTGGTGTCATGAATCTTTCTAGGCTCGACATGACTCAGGCCCTTGACTTCCTGGGACCCCAGCCTAGTGGGGAGACAGATCAAAGTCTATCACAGTGCAGCAGAGAACCACTGAGTGCTCCATGCTGGGCTGAGCGGCTAACTTTGGGGGAGGTAAGAAGGGAACACTTAAGGCAGGCTTTGAAGGACACAGTGGAAGTGCAGCCCGGGGGAGTCCAGCCAGAGCAGACTTCAGCGTGTCCAGGGAGTTGACTCCCTCATCTGGCAAATAATTGTTGAAGGCCAACCAGATGCAGAGCGCCCTGAAGAAGAGAGGGCTTTGGGGATGAGGACCAGGTACTGAAGTGCACCTTCTGAGCAGAGGGTCTGAGTACCATCGGGTGCCCTGTTTTGTTTCAGATAAACATCCAAGGGCGTCTGGTGACAGGTATGGGTGGCGGTCTGCAAGAACAGAGGACAGTGATTGACCGCAGAATCATCTAGCTCTTTCAGGACTTGGACGTCTGTGCGATTAGCCCATAGAGATGGCAGCCAGGGTTTCAGTAATGAGGTGGGTCTGAAAGGCACACCCAGCATGGAGAAGCTGCGAGGCAGCCAATCACCTGGGTTATCAGGGAACAACCATTATGTAAGATGCACCAGGATCACTTAGTTGAAGTTAATGACTATTAACTGAAAAGAAAACAGCTTTTATTGACCCCAGATAGGATGTTAATTGGCTTCTGTTTACACAGATTATAGGTGCTTGTTAACTCCATTCACAAGTAACTGCATCCTCTGGGTTGTGCAAACATTTCCTGTGTCCCAGAGGGTGGGGCCTGCAGCTGTGCAGTTGCCCCCACCATCTTTGGTCTGGGAGCTCCCCAGGGAGTAGGATCCACGTGTGTGGGGTGTGTGGGTGTTAGGATGGTCAAACACGTGCAGCCGCTGCAGTCTGGGGCTTGTAGAAAAGCACCCGATCCTGAACAAGAAGCAGCTCTGTCCTGCTTCATCTGACACGGTGAACTTGCTTCCCATCAGTGTTACTAGAACTTGGGAAGTTTTCATGCCACAGCTGATCCAGAGGTCCCAAATATTGCAGACATTTCCATCTAGGGTCACCCGAACAGAAAATAGCATGAGAAAAGATCAAAGTTTGTTATTCGGGGTCTTTCTCTGAATGGCACTCTTGTGATCTGCCAAGGGGCCCCTGTGCACCTGGTCCCTAATTCTCATCTAACTTCCCAGGAAGACCTGACATCTGAATTCTAGTCCAGAAAGCTCTGGTGCTGTAGACAGATAATTAGTGAAGTTTTTGTTACTTGTTTGTTTTTTGGTACTAGGGATTGAACCCAGGGGTGCTTACCCACTGAGCCACACCCCCAGCCCTTTTTTGTATTTTATTTAGAGACAGTCTCACCGAGTTGCTTAGGGCCTCGCTAAGTTACTGAGGCTGGCTTTGAACTTGTGATCTTCCTGCCTTAGCCTCCTGAGCCAACTGGGATCACGGACGTATACCACCACGCCTAGCCCCAGTGAGGTCTTGAAGCTGGGCCTCCTGGGAGAAAGGACATTGTCATATATGGTTAGAGGTACAGTACAGGATGTGTACAGGAGAATAAGGGAAGTAGGCACCCTGGCGCAGCATGTGAGTTAGGACTCCGGGAGGTGCAAGTGACAGAAGCTCATTCAGGTTCCGTGATGGAAGAGTCCAGGTGCTTCTGGTACCCTCCAAGATTCTTCCAGCACCGCTGGGTTGTGAGTGCCCCCATCTGTTGGTGCTCACCTTCTCCTTCTGGCCTTGCTCTGCATTGAGCTCTATGTGGACCCTACCTCAGAACTCTCCCCGCTGCCCTTGTCCTGGAAAGAGAGGGCCTCTCTGGCTTGGTGGTCTCCTCAAAACTCCAGATCTGGGCTGGGGAATGTGGCTCAAGCGGTAGCGCGCTCGCCTGGCATGCGTGCGGCCCGGGTTCGATCCTCAGCACCACATACCAACAAAGATGTTGTGTCCGCCGAGAACTAAAAAATAAATATTAAAAAAAAAAATCCTCCAGATTTGTCTTTGGGTCCAGCACCCTGAAACCAGAAAAGTGTGAGATCTTACTACCCACTGAGGGTCATCTGAGCCACCCTTAAATCAAGGGTCAGCTCCATCATCTTCCTGGTGACAGCGGAGAGAGTGGAGTAGAGAGAGGATGGTGTCCTCCACCAATATGAACAAGTCAGTCACCTGAAGCCCATTCATCCCAGTCCCCTGGGAATTACCATTGTTAAGGCCTGGCCCACCCCCAGGCTCAGGGTCAGCTGTCCTGGGAGGGACTGGGCAGGGATTTTTGTTGTTGTTGTTTGTTTGTTTTGTTTTCGCATTATTGGTACTAGGCGTGCTCTACCACTGAGCTTCATCCCCCAGGACTTATTATTCTTTTATTTTGGGGGAGGTGTATCAAGGATTGAACCAGGGGCACTCAACCACTGAGCCACATCCCCAACCCTATTTTGTATTTTATTTAGAGACAGGGTCTCACCAAGTTGCTTAGCGCCTCGCCATTGCTGAGGCTGGCTTTGAACTCACTATCCTCCTATCTCAGCCTCCTGAGCCGCTGGGATTATAGGCATGCACCACCACATTCAGCAATAGTTGTTATTTTTTATTTGAGGCAGGGTCTCACTAAATTGCCAATGCTGGCCTTGAACTTAGATTCTCCTGCCTCAGCCTCTCGAGTAGATGGGATTATAGACCTGTACCACTGTACCTGGCCGGGCAGTGTTTTTTTGTCTCTTTTGTTTCCACTGTTTAAATGTCTTTTCTTGAAGTATAACTTACACACTGTAAAGTGAAACAAATCTTTATTTTTCCAGTGCTGGAGAGAGAACCCAGGGCCTCCAACATACAAGACAAGCACAGCACCACCGAGTCACAGCCCTGTGTTTGAGGTGTTGTTTTTTTCTCTTCCCAGGACTGAGGTTTAAGCCCAGGCTTTGCACACGCTAGGCCAGAACACTAGCACTCAGGCTGTTGTGCATCATGCTCCTGTGAACGCTCATGTACAAGTTCTGTGTGTCCCTCTTAGCTTTCCACCTAGGAGTGGAATTGAACTTGTTGAAGACCCTCCAAACTGAGTTCCAAGCGTCTTCCCCATTTGACCTCCCCAGTGCCCGAGGGCTCCAGTGTGTCCACATCCCTTGTCCCAGAAAATTTTAGGTAACACTCTGCTGCTTGGGGTCTGGAGAAGGCGTGGTCTGTGTGCAGGTTTATTGGTCCTCAGGTGGCCACTGCAGGTCCGACTCACGGGAAGCTGAGGCTCCTGGGAACTGGGGCACCTGCCTGGGGGCACCCACCTGTTGAAGGACAGAGCCAATCTTGGCTGCTCCCATGGCAGGTGATGAGGGGTAGGAGTCACTGACTGCGCTCCAAGGCTCAGGGTTTGGGGATGAGAAGGGCCTCACCCGCTGGGTGACTCACAGTGACTACAGTGGGGAAGGGAGCAGGAGGAGGGACAGCAGGTCCTTCTTCCTTCCCTCTCT